CCACAAAGGGAGGTCTCTTCCACCGAAGCGCTCCTCTAGGCTTTCTCTGCCGTTTCTGTTGTTGATATTGATTTCGGTGGTGTTACTCCCTCTTATTCCACTACCATTTCTTTTTCTTTCCAATTCTTCATCTTCTCTTGTGGTTCTTCTCCTGAACACCACAACTGAAATACAACTTCAAGTCTCCACGTTCTGAAACCTTTTCGTCAAGAGGCACAATCAATAACACCTTTCCAATTCCAGAAGTTTGAGTTGAATCCTTTGAAGAGAACTCTTATTTGAAGGACAATCCTCTATGAATCACCGGTTCTGGACCCCCTCCAGCGGAACTACAATATAAAGATTTGTGATATGGATCACCAGGCATGATCCATCACATTAGCAGAGAAACTTCATGTTATGAAAGAATAATCAAAGAACAACTGCAATTTTCTTCATGCTGTCCACACGATCTATGGATAGATGTAATTTTTCCTTGAAAAGAGAAAAAAAAAGGTGATGGGCATTATGAATGAGGCGAGGGAAGGCTAAGAAAAACCTGGATTTTATAAGTGAGAAAAAGATTTGATAGATCTTGTGTTTTGTTTCCATTATTTAACAGAAGATATGTCCCTAGATTGTACTGAATGGAGGAATAGGACTTCTGCCACTTACACCACTTAGCTGAGATCTAACATGAGTTGTGGTAGACAAGGTGAGGAATTTCCATTTCAAGAGAAATTTTAATTCTTCAAATGAGAAGTTTCATCAAAAATTTTGAGATGGAGGAGAAACAATAGGGAAAATGGAATGCTTTCTAAAACTTAAAAATGTGTTAACCTATGCAAATTAAATACTTAAAAGCTAACACCAAATAGTAGTCAAGGCAAGTGTCTTTGTCGAAGGGTAAATAAAAGATAAAAGTAATAATTTTTTTTTTCAAATTATTTTATTACCATTTTTTTTAAATTAATATTCAATTGCTAAAGTCTTTTTTCAATTTATTTATCATAAAAATTATAAAAATTAGACATTTATGATCAACTATATAAATTACTTCATAAATTGTATATGCGATACATGAAATCAAAAAGTGCGGTATAGACGGATCCACACCATACCTACAGAATGTCACTATAGATGTGGACTAGTCCAGTCTATACAATCTGTCCACAATTTAAAACAATAGTGTGGTGTGGATTGATTCCTATTAAGTGTGGTATAGACCTCATCCACATTATAAAACACCCCCAAAATCAATCAAATAAAACAGAAACCGATTTGAATTTTTTTACACTTCGGTCGGATTAACTAGTTAACCGGATTAAAGACTAGCCTCTTCGATGAAACTGTTTAAATGTTCAAATAAATAAATGAACCGATACAACAATTAATAATATGGGTCCTACTTTCAAATTTATAATAGAAAACTATTGACTGATTGAAACTTCAAAGGGTCAATTGATCACTTTTCCAATTTTTTAATGATAGAAAACCAAAATACTTTGACTCACTTGATCAGTTGATTAAGACTTCAGAGGGTTGGTTGATCGCTTTTTTTTAAAAAAAAACATTTTAGGATAACTTTTGCATTTTGGGACTTTAGGTTTTCACTTTTAGAGGGAGAGGGCACATATGTTAGAGGGTCAAGGTGTGAGGTGAGAGGAACGAAAGACAACAAATTGGACAATCTGGGTGGTGGTTGACAACCCTAACATAGTGAAATAATGACACTAATATTAAAGGAAAGAGTGAGAGCCCAAGTATTGAAACCATAGTGGGGACGTGTCAACACCCTAACCAATATAAGCGGCATGGATTGGGTGATACTTTAGAAATAGATCCAAAAAGGAACTTTCTAGAAGAGAAAGCTTATTCCACACACACATTGTGCACGAGTCTTTGAGACAATTACTTCCTGCTCTTAGAGATTCTTCCCACCTAACCCTTCTTAGATCTCTTCTCCTCTTTGAAATTTCTAGTCACCCTTTCTTCTCATCTATCATCTTTTAGGCAGACTTTCTTAGTGCCATATCCACCCCTCTACACCAACAAATGGTGAGAAACTTTTGATATAGGCCCTAAACATGATGGATGAAAAAGAGGGGGTTGACCCATTAACCCACAAAGATAAACCCCCAATACGTCCTCCCTTGTTCGAAAAGCCAAAAGAGGCTAGGAATGTCATAATAAGATTCAAATTTTAAAATTCCATTTGATCATTGAATTGGCATCAACTTACTTGCCATTACCATCCTCTTTCATTGATTCGCTTGAAAAACCACTTCGGTGCCTACAACTAGTCACTAGCCACCTCACCTTTAGGGTGCAAATTGGGTGGACTAGGTTAGGTTTATGGTCAATCTAGGCTCAGCCCTAAAAATTTGGGCCTAATGCCCGAGCCCGAGGTCAAGCGCTAGCTGACCTTCCCAACCTAAGGCCAACCAGTACTCAGGTTAGGCTCAGGCATGGGCCGGGCTAAAGTTGGTCAATTAACCTACTTTAAAATTACACATGTATGTATGACTTTATTCAAAATATGTATGTAATATGAAAATATGTATGTATATAGAAATACATATCTATATATGTATGCTTGAATGTATATAGTTAGGCTAGGCTTAAGTTTGTATAAGCTCAAGATGGGTTTTGGGTTACCTAAGGGCTAGGCCTAAGCCTAACCCAAAGTCTTGGGCCCGAGCCCAACCTGAGGACCGAAAATCCAAGTCCAACTCATGTAAAATTTTGAATTGGGTCAATCCAGGCTCATGTTGGTCCTGCCCAAGTTGAACCCCAATCTACTCACCTTTGTTTTAATCAATTTTAGAGGGGCATCCATCATGAGCTCTCCGTCCTCTATTCCAATGCCACTATCACAGGTTCCTTGTCGTAAACACCCCAACAAACTTTTGAATATTGTCTCCACTGAGGCAATGGGACTCCTCTGCACTAGCTCAAGCACTAGGTCTCTCTCAAGTAGACAAACAGAGCTTGGGAGTTGGCCTTCATGAACTGCTTCGCTACTTGCCATTTGATGAAATTGAAAGTAAAACCTGTTAGCCCCGACTGGAGATACGGAATCCTCTACTACAATATGTAAGGATTATCAGTTCCCTCTATTCCACCCTCTTGGGGAAGTTGGCTAATGCATTGCCCCATACCAGCATCCGCACTAAATCCAATTTTTTCCAAGATAAATTAGCCTCATAGACTGCAATGTAACCACCCAAAGCATCCCCTAGTAATTCCTCAAGGCTAGAGAAAGGTAGGGAAATCCAAAGCATCTCCTAATCCCTACCTTTTTCTTTCAAACCAAAGACAACATAAAAGTGGCCAAGCACCATGGAGGACAAATAGAGGGTTCCTAGTGATGCAGAGAGAATGCCTGTCCATTGAATGTTGTTTTTCCGGAGTGCAACACACCTATGGCTTCTATTTCGAAGGAGAAAATGAACAAGATTTTGTTCCCTTTGAGTTTTTTTGGCATTGGATTTCCCTTGAGTTTTCCATGTTAGCTTTGCCTAGTTCTCCAATTTGCCTAACTCTGAGCATGAAAAAAAGGTATCTACAAAGCAGCATTTCTGAAGAAAGAACTCATAGACACCCATAGCTGAAATCAAAATCTCTATTAGAGGCACCAAAAACCTTCATAGTTTTATGATTGTTTTAATCATGGTTTTAAAAAATGACCCAGAAACGGAATGGTTTATCGGTTTCCGGGTTGAGGTCTGACCGCCTATTTCGAACAGACGGTCCGTTTTGACAAAAAAAATTAAAAATAATAATTAAAAAAAAAAACAGCCAAAAACCGTTGAATGGATCAATGGTTTGACCACCCGGATCAATGAGTTGTTGAATTTTTTAACAGTTTTTGGCCAGGTACCAGGTTTAGGGTAAAACGAAGTCTGAACAATTCCTAGGCCAAACGGTCCAATCGTCCAAGTCAACGATAATTCGAAAACCATGATTTTAATTAACCTTTTATTCTTTTAATTCCAATTATTTTCAGGTGGGATGACAAGGAAATAAATCACCTTTCAGACTATATGAGTACATGTTTCCTGGCACTAAACAAAACAATTAATGAAATTGCTTATGAGATTGATGATTATGTATGTACCCACTTAAATGTTCATTTGTGACAAAAGACCCCCTAAACTTTTAGATTCCCACAAAGACCACCACTCCATTAAGTTGAGTGTTGGAAGAAGTTAATTTACTAAAATACACACTCAAGAAACTTATATAAAATGGAAATTGCAACAAAAATAACAAAACACAACATGTTAATTTACTAAAATTAATTTAAATTACAACAAACACAACATGCAATGCAATTAATCAAAACCAAACAAATAACAAAAGGAACTTAAAATAAACACCAAAAAATGTTGAAAAAAGGGTACTTTAGGGATTTAAAAAATTTAAACAGTCACATGGAATTTTTTCAAAGTTAACTGACTAAAGTGGTATTTGTCAGAATCTGAAAATTCAAAGGAATCTTTATTACAAATGAATGTTTAGGGGAGCAATTGCCATTGCCCCTAAAGTAGAGGGTTGTAATCTATAATTTATCCTAAATTTCTGTATTTTGTGTTTGAGAGAGAGAGATAGAGAGAGGTGATGTTACATGATAGATTGAATGGCTCGTGAGCATATTATTTTCTTGGTAGTCAACATATGGAAGAAAAATGAATAGAGAGTGCATTTCCATGGAAAATCTATGATGCCGGAAAGACAATGATGTCGGAATGGTTTTGACCAATCACAACCTCTGTACATTTTGATGAAAACCGACCCCATTGATTACTATTTTTATGATTTCGGTTAATTGGTCGTAAATTTTTTTCAGATATCATGTCTATTTCCGGCATCATACTTCTCAATTTACCTTTACCTTTCTGAAAATGTTCCTTGGTGATCTCCTTAAACATATATAGTTCGATCAAATTGCCCATCTCATTTACCAACAGGTGTGAGTTCAAAATTCATTTGGGATTATCAAAATGGGTCCACACAAATAACCAGACAAGTAGCAATACGATCCAATATATAGCTTGAAGAACATATATTCAAACAGTAGGCATTCAGAAAGAATCCCCTTGCATCTTTACCAGATTCCCTTATTCAAAACATTCTTTTCTTACAGCATCCCCTAGGAGGTACCTGATCACTTGTTGTAAACAACCAGTGGGCGCACCACTGAACCAGCCCAGGGCACACAAACTGGAACAGGATGAACACCTTATACCATGGTGGCTCTATCACGTATCTATCTCCTCGGCATGCTCCATTTACAATGGCTTTTGCGCACTCCTCTGAACTCCTAACTGCGAATAGGCTTACCATAATCTGTCCAACAAACATTTTTATTTTTCAGTATCAATCAATAAAACCCATGATTCTCTGAAGCCCTAAATGGTAGGACAGTAGTCAGGTTGCCTGATTCGAAGAAGAGACCTTTATTGTTAAGCCCAATTCATAATTCTTTTATGAATTTGTACAGTTTACAACAGTATGGCATCATTGGCATGTGGGGGAATCCATCACAATTCAAAGGGGGTGATGTAACATAGGTGGAGTATGAGATGATACCAATAAAAATTTATGAGAGAAAGTAGAGCATAAATTTTTCTTTGAAGAAACTCACTCGGCTTAAGCCTTGTACTCACTGAAATTTAATAAATTCCTAACACAACCCAAGTTACACCCGTAGGTACAAAATGGCCAGGCCTAATGGTAAAAACTCTGACTGACAAGTGTGAAAATATTGGCTAATGATTTTTTTTTTCTGTGAAACCCTAAATCCATAAATCCAAAAAGCCTAAACTTGAACTTAATTAGATCCATACACAGTCTGACCAGATTCTAGGCATGTAGAAAGCCAAATTGGGTCTGACAAGTTTATACTTTGAAGGGGCAACCTGCAGGCCCATCTTACTGATAGTACTGTCCTGCAAATTCTTAGATGGAGGGGCAATATTAACTTATTTCTTAAGTGATATTAGAGGAAGATAAACCATCCTAATCATGCAGATCTTAGTACCTTTCTCATTTTTTCATCTGCAACGATATCACCCGTGTTAGATGAGTGCTTTTCTTGGAGCATCTCTGCTTCTATAAACGCAGGAGCTACTGTGGTTATTTTCACCTCCTGTTTCAAGTCGATTCTGAATGTCTCGTAGAAGTTCACTAAAGCAGCTTTAGTTGCCTGAAATTTTCCAAGAGGAGTACAGGTGATGAGCAAATCGAAAGAGGGAAACAAAGACAAAACTAACACTAATTGGATTTGAGAGTTGAGACCCATTTTATGAGATTTCTTCCTTACTCCGTACACACTTGCCCAGGGTGAGACAGTCCACCCAAGCACCGAAGCATTCACCACGATCCTGCCTCTGCTCTTTCTGAGGTGGGGAATTGCAAAACAAGCAGGAGCAACTGATCCCCAAAAGTTAACATCCTGTACAAATCGAGAGCACTATATATGAAACCCTCTAGCTACTTGGTTATGTAAATTAAGCTTAAGCAACTGGAAATTGAAAGCAGCATTTGAGCCCACTGTTCTTGTTAATGGATTAGGCATTACCATGACTGGTGCAAATTTTGCAACATCAGCTGCGTCTTCGAATAGGCCAAAGCTCTCGGTTCCCGTGTTGCACACCAGATGATCCACTGGATGCAAAATCAGAAACTCGAAACATTAATTATAAGTAATAAGACTGTAATATTGCAAGCATTTCGATAATTAAGCTTTGGTATATTGTGCTTTTAAAGCCAAAAGGCAGAAAGCACCAATTAGGCTTTGGGACTTGAAAAGTTTTGGCTTTTGATTGTAATGCTTTCAAAAAGGGTATTACCAAACCCTGAAAAAGCTTTCTAGTTTCTAACTCAATTTTGTTTCCCACAGCCCAAAGCTTATCCAAACGAACCCTGAACTGTTATGGATAAGCGCCAATCCCATAGCAGTCAGAAACTAGAGTCTTGAACCAGAAGGCAACCAGAAACCATCCTAACTTCTTGACTGATCTACTTCCATCTACAGAATTGTTTGTCTTCTGTTGTTCTCCAATGATAGTTAAAAGCCCATCATTCTTTGCTTCTTAAGCTTGTTATGTCCTAAACAGCCCCACTGATGGAATTGATGCCCAGTTAATTTGGACTCACGTCTGCCGAAGTGGTGGTTCACTGCTTCTTCAACAAAACGTTTGCATTCCTTAATTTGGGAGACATCTGCACAAATGAGCACAACATCAGGGGACCCAAGTTGACGAGCCCTTCCAGCAACTTTTCCAAGGCAATCTTCTCTTGTTGCAACAAGAACCAAGTAAGCTCCTCTCTTTGCATACTCGTAAGCTATGTGCTGTCATGAGAAAGCTCAGGTCAGACTAAGCAGCAACAATGGAAAGAATAGAATAAACTATGAATGACAGAGTCCAAAGTAATCTGTATTTGCATAAACCTCCCCGATTGCCGATGAAGCGCCGGTGATGAGAACGACTTTTCCGGCCATATTCTCCATTGTGAAAGATGCAACTATGGCACGAATGAACCTGAAGATGAACAAGGGTGGTAGAATGAGACATAATAGGATGAGAGTTAAAGGAGGCATCACCCAGTTCATAACCTTGTGAATCAAGTCCATGGCCTTCCAACAACATACAGCACTGCAATGGAACTGCAAATTAAATACTCCTTTTTGTCACAAATCAATGGCTCTACATTGTTCCCAGCAGGCCAGTTAATAATAGCATGTCCAACCATCCGAACTAGAAAATTTATGAGGCTTTAGAGTGCCAACTTATTTCCTTTTTGCAGTTAAAATGCCTCTATGGACACCCATCTTTTCTCACAAAGGAGATAAGTCCTAAGGAATGCCAAATGCAGCCTAGACCACAATAGAATGTTTACAGGGAAAGCATTTAACTACTTGTGCAAGCTTGTAAGAACCATTAATGATCACAAGTACTGTAGTCTATTCTTCAAAAATAAAACAAAATTAGGGTAAATTATGGATAGGTACCTTGAAGTTTTAAACTTTCAATTACAACACTTGAGTAAATAGACACCAAAGGATCAAACAGCTAGAAGAAAAAGAACATGTTCAATAAATCTCCACCAAAAACCAAAAATGGAGTCAAGAAAACGAGTGCCCCTTAAAGCTTCTGAAACTCATGTTTTCCCTACTTGCATTCTTGGTCTATGACCTTTCTGTTGTTGTTTAGTCCTATTATTCACTGTTACGTTCCAGAAGCCCCTACAACAGGCGTTGAATTAACAATATTTACAATCACTAGAAATGCAAGAGGAAAAAGAGTTCAAATTTGATCCAACAAGCCTTTTTTATGAGAGATAATTTGACCCTCCAATGACATTACCCCACGTGGCATCTTAGAACCGTTGCATAATACTTCAGCGCTATATAGGTAGCAACGTGTATTTACCAAGTTAATTGGATTCATCTCCAAATCACTTCGGACGCAGCATCACCTCGGCACTTTAGCTAGGGACCAAGGAAGGCATAGCCTTATATGACGTACACACCTCGACAGAGCAGACCGATGACATCAACAGGATCATACCAAGGACCTCGGTACAAGGGGTGACCTCCTTTTGAGGGCTTATTGGTCTGATCGAGGTTGAGGTGGCGACCAACTCCCGCTACGTGTGACTCATCGTCTTTGAGTCCTCTGGGATCTTGTTGCTTAATTGATAGAGCTTACTTACACGCAACCCACTTCGAAGAAATCGAATAAACCTTATTGTTATCCGTGGAAACCACCTCCAAGGGTGATGGGCCGATAAGCCACGTCCTTCCAAAGATCTCAAACGTGTTAAGTGAGACCCACAACTACCCATACCTATATAAAAGAGCTACCTTTATTCTCCGAGCAAGTCATTGACACCAAGATGTTGTGGAATAGAAAGAATCAAAGAACTGAAGGAACGAACATGTGTGAGAAACTATAGGAAGAAAATGATACTATATGCAAGGTTTTTAAAACCGGATCGGATAGGGAACCATTATGGGGACTAGTTCTCGGGTCAAACGGTCCGACCATCTGGTTGGAACAGATGACCTCTTTGACAAAAAAAAAAGTAAAAACGGTTGTTCGGAACGATGGTCCGATAGTTGAATTTAAAAGTTCGATCTAAACATGCGGTTGATTGAATTTGGGGCACTATTCCCTTTGGGCTACATTTGGTTGCAATGCAAATGCAAATATGTACACTACATATTTACCCATTTTTCAGTTCATGCGTTTACATTCATGAACCGCGTTTGTTTGGAATTGATGCAAAAAGTGTGGATCCATCATTAAATGCTTCAAATATCATATGCTTTAATGCCTTAACTTTGGTCAAAAAATTAATTATCTATCCAGAAAATAAGTACAATACTGCTCTCTTTTCAGAGTACTAAATACCCCGATTTGACATTTATACCGCAAACAAGTTCTATGTCCACTCTGTCAACTATGTCCACTCTGTCTCTCAACTATAATCATGAATCACTCCACAACTCCAGCTCCGGCCACCCCACCAACTCAAACCAAGTTCTATGTCCACTCTGTCTCCACCCCTATGATCCGCACCAGACCAAACTAGTAATTTTTGCGGCCATCAATTCAAAGTAGAACTGTAATAAGTAATAAGCTAATAATGGAGACAATGTGCTGATGGAAGTGGCATGGTGAGCAGTAGATCTGTTCAGTGGTAAAAGTTCCGGCTCAAGCGGGAAGGGTTTTCGAAAAGGTTTGAAATGGAAATTGTTAACTGTGTTAAATCTCTCCTGTTCTGAAATAAAGTATGATGTGATGAGGTGACGAGAAATAATTGGATGAAACATACAAATGGTGGAACGACGGGTATATGGGATTGAGACTGCAATGAACTACTTACAGGGAAAGCATCTAATTTGTTGAAGAACAATTAATGATCACAACTACTGAAGTCTACTCTTGCGAAAGAAATTAAATTAGGAGAAAATGCCCGTATTTATGACTGGTTTCTCCTTTTTGTTAAGAAAATGACGGTTTTAGTCATAAAAATTTATTATTAAAATTCATTGACAATTTTTCTCAAGGTAGGAAGGTTATTCATCTGAATTGAGGTCTGTTACTCATACAATGCACCTCATACTGACCTCACAGGCACACCTCACTGTGTATCGGGAACATTTCCCACGAATAATAGCACATAATTATGGGAGACATTCTCAATACATGGTGAGATGTGCCTGTGAGGTCGGTGTGAGGTGTATTGGGTAAGGAGCAGATCATCTGGACTTTATTTACCCACCTCGGAGATGGAAAGTGATACCATAAAAATTAATTTTCCCTAGTCCTCACATAAATCTTAAAACAAATAACATGGGTTTCTTGATCAATAGGAATCAAAATCCTATTTGCCAAATTTCCCCCATCTCAAAATCCAAAGTTTTAGCCAAAAAAATAAAAAAATGACTGTTTCCAAATCCAGTCTAAATCCACATAAATTTTCTATTTAGAATGTATTTATCATTCCTTATTTTAAGAACTTATTTCCTTTTTACAGTTAAAATGCTCCCTATAAATGGATGGTAAACTAAGAAAAAAAGGAATGCCAAATGCAGAAAAACTCTAAACCTTAAAATATTAATGCTGAAAGTAAAACTCTAAACCCTAAAATAAACGCTGAAAATGCATGTGGTTGGACGTATTTCCTCAGCCAAGTATAGCCCTGGTAAGGACCAAAACGGTGAGGATTTGCCTAGTCGGTAAAATGTGGAGCCATTAATTTGTGATAAAAGGCATATGAGTGATATGCTGCCCAAAGAACGCTATACACTACAGCTATACATTGGGAAGATTTCTCAATAGTAATTCATATACTAGAGTGACCCCACATATGAAAAATGGGGCTAGTATTCTGATTTTTTTTTATTTATGTATTCTAATAAATTTTGTTTAGGTTGTAAGTTTAGGTTGCTATTTAATTTGATTTATAATGTATTGATTTGTTATCTAATTTAAGAGATTAAATAAGTTTTACTTCTAAATAATAATTCACTTTATGGATCTCACATATTTGAAATGAATTTTGTTTTTCTTTTCCTTTTTACTACAGTTAATTAGATCTAACTTTTTTGAGAGTAATGGTAACTATCATTTGAGTGGGTAGACATATGTATGAAAAATGAAACTTTTGTTTGAGAGTGAGAATAGCAACTTTTGAGATGTTTTTTCTTTATAAAATAAGATGCCTTTTGTCGGAGGGATAGGAGTAAGATGTTCTGGTTGTCTACACAGCTGTAGTATCTTGTGGGTAGGTAAGAGTGGCAATTTCCATCATACATGGTGGGTACCTTACTTTACTTGCCTCGGTAGGGTGGGTTTTTTTTTTATTTGAAAAAACTGGTTTTTGGGGTAAGAATGGGTTTTGTGATTTTATGTGTATATGTAGAATACAATGTCATTCTAAACCCGATCCATCTCAACCCATATATTGATTTTATTAATATACCCCTTGTACTTCTAATTTAATTAGCAATATACTAGGGGATGTTGGCTTTGTTGTTGAAGTCTGATGATGTGCGATTTGGCAACTCCCTGCTAGCAGGTGATTCGAATGTCGAGCTGGACAATTCCTATCTGGAAGGTGACTTGGATGGCTATTTGAATAATGTCGAGCTAAAAGGTGACTCAAGTGCCGAGCTGAATAATGACGAGCTATATAGTCTACTAGGGCGACCAACAAGGATATAGTGTTAGAGTGCCTGGAGAAATCAGAAACATTAACTTGTTTAAAGGAAGAGGTCAACGAGCATGTCTCGCAGGTCGCCACCTGGACCTCAGTTAGGTCAACAAGTTCTCGAGGAGGTCGCTCCTCACATCGAAGTCCCTTGGACAGGTAACGATGAGGTACTACAAGTCAACCCTGGACGAGGTGCTACTAGCCGCTTTGCCGAGTTTTCCGAGTTGTGTATGAGGTTGCCAGTTGGGTCTCCATTAGGTCGCCACATTTCCGAAGGTAGGTCGCCAGGTTTTCGGAGGTAGGTCACCAAGTCTCTAGTAGGTCGATGGAGGTAGGTTGCCAAGTCAGCAAAGGTAGGTCACCAGGTCTCTGGAGGTAGGTCGCTAGGTCTCTAGTAGGTCGGCGGAGGTAGGTCGCCAGGTCTCCAGAGGTAGGTCGTCAGGTCTCTAGTAGGTTGGCGGAGGTAGGTCACCAGGTCTCTAGAAGTAGATTGCCAAATTTTTAACAAGATAATTTGCTCTTAACACCTCAGCCTACAAATACCTCGTCACCTCGGCAAGGCTTACCTGCGAGGTTGGCACCATAGTCTGTTGGCCATCAACTCCCACAGGGAACATGGAGGGCATGACCTGTAGGGTGGGCTCACATTCTACAGGCCGTCAATTCCCACAGGAACCATGGAGGACTTAACCTACAGGGGCGGTCTCACAGTCAAGGCTGGGAGATTCTATCTGGGCAAGACTACTAGAATTTGTTTGGGATGATCATTCTGATTCTGCCCCCTTGTGATAGCATCGTTGATATGTGCATTATTGTTGGCGTTAAACGGTGGGTCGATGCCACGGATACACTGTGTCAACCCTCGAAGATGCTGGTCATCTACTCCTACGATAAGCCACAGGGAGTTGAACCTACGGGGGCAGCTCTACTAATTATAGGTCACCAACTCGCATGGGAGCCTTGGAAGGCTCAACCCGCATGGGCGACTACATAATCTATTGGCTACCAACTCCCGTAGGAGCTGCGAAGGGCTCGATCTATAGAGGCGACCTCATGAACAAGGCTGATGAAGCCCGTCCGAGCTAATTACAGTTGAGTGTGAATTTAAAATGAGAATTGAGAACCTGACTTTTAAGTAGTGGTTCCTACAAACGTCGCCAATTGATGATGCACAATCTGGTAGCTCTTACTTGGTGGATGACTCAGATGCCGAGCTAGAGATTTCCTTGTCGGAAGTCG